GTTCGTTGGGCTTCTGTGTTGGTGTCTGGTATCGGCTGGCACTGCTCTGGACCAGAGGTCCGGGGAGGGAGGAGGGCGGGTTTCATCTTTTGGTCTAGTCTGATCTCATCATAGGAAGGGCCCTGACACATGCCATTCACACGCAAGAGACCCCAGGCATGAAGGTCTCCTTGGCTGGGATGGCCCAGGTTCCCCAGCCACGCCTACGCTCTGAAGCCAGGCGAGGCGCCTCTCCATACCAAGTCCTCCCTGACCCGGCGGCTTGGAGCGCAGGAGAGTGTGGCCGAGGCTCAGACTGTTCTCAGTGGGTGTGAGTGTGCGGCACAGGCCAGGACAGCCCCGAGGACCCTGGACGGCCCCAGCACTGGGTGTCCTGTCTGAATTCCTTTCTCCAGACACCTCGCCCGTCCTCGAGTGACTTCTGCACCTTCAGTCCCTCCCCAACAACCTTCACGGTCTTCCTCCTTCCCTACCCTCGTCATCCCACCCTCAAGCCCACACGGGGCCTCCCCTCCTCCACTGCCCCTGGCTTTCCTAGGCAGTTGGCAGACAACCACAACCGTGCGACCGCTCCAGCCTCCTCGGCCTCCCTGTCTCCTCTGTCCCTCATTCTTTCACCCTCCTCCAAGAAGCCCCTCTTCACAACCCCACACCTGGAGTCCAGAGCCTGGTTGGCCTGAGCCATCTTCTCAGCCCATCTCATCCTGTCTCCTCCTCAGACTAGAGATCTCCTAAAAAAAAAATTTTTTTTTGCACATCCTTTTTAAAAAAAAAAAAACAACTTATTTTTATTTAACTTTCTTTATTTTATTTTAGTTTGACCAGAGAGAGAGAGAAAGTGAGACAGCAAGCCACCAGGTCTGACCCCTAAACCCTGGTCAGCCATGTGGGAGTCCAGCGCCCACCTGCCAGCCCTAGCATAAATATATCTTTGGGACATACTTCAGCAGAAGAATGTCTCTGGGATATTTTTATACTGAGTATATATTCATACTAAAAAAATTACTCATCTTCTCTGAAACTCAAATTTAACTGGACATTCTGCTTTATTTACTATCAGGTCATCAGAAAAGTCATGACATATTTTTCTATGTGTTTTTCTGTGCAAAAATGTGTCGTGACTTTTCCGATGACTCAATAAACCTGGCAACTGTAATTAGGTGGGGGCTCCCCCAAATCAAGGCCTTGCTCAGAATCGGGCCTCCCCAGGGAGGTCTGGCACCCCTCTGGCCATGCACCTGCCCAGCCCGAGCGCACACATGTACACGTCACACCAACACTCACCTGTGTTGTAGGCAGTGGGCATGGAAGAGAAGGGGAGGCCCTGGCTGAGTAAACTTGGTGTTGCCACGGAAACCACTGGGGTGGTGAGCGAGTGGGTAGACTGGGAGACCCCGAGGCGCTGGGCATTGTTCTGCAGGAGAAAACGGAGTCAGGAGATGACAGAGGGTGAGGTGCCGTACGCTCGCCCTCCATGGCAAGGCTGAGGTGGGTCCCTGAATCCCAAGGCCCAGGTGGGGGGCCTTCTCAGGCCCCCATAGCTACACACACACGCACACACGCTGGTACATTTGCAGACACTATGATCCATGGAGAGAAATGAGCTTGCAGCTCCCCCACACCTACACACACGAGAGAGGAGGGCATGCACGCCGGCTGTGGCCCCAACACTGATGCCTGGAGTCCTGGGGCAGAGGAGAGAAGGGAGACAGCCCTCGTCCCCCAGCTGGTCTCTCTACCATCACCTGCATGCTCGGCCTGGTGACGGCATACTAGCATCTGCGAGGGGAACGCAGGGCCTGGCGTGGCGTGTGCCTGCGTGTATGCACACACGTGTGTGGGGCTGTCAGCTCCATCTGCCGCTGAGTCACTTGTTTATTCCAAATCCACGCTGGGGCCGAAACTGCCGCCGTGTTGGCCGCCAAAGCCTGTCTGTCTTTTCCAGCCTCTCTGGCCTCCCGTCATGGAACCAGGGAGGGAGGAGCCCCCGTCCCACTCCACTCCTGGCTGAGGGTGAGCACGTGTGTGTGTGTGTGTGTGTGTAACTGAGAGAGAGAGAGAGAGAGAGAGAGAGAGAGAGGGAGGGAGGGAGGGAGGGGAACAGACAGTGTGCCTCTGAGAGCCAAGTATGGGAGGGAGCACGGGAGATGGGAGGTGGGGAAGCCCCCATCAGGAAAGGTGGCTCTGGCCTAGCCTTGAGCCCTGGCTCCCCCTGAATGCTGACTGCGCTATGCAGCCGGCACCCCTCCTGAGGAGGCCCCAAACTGGACTCCCAGAATACCCTGCGGGCCTGAGTGGGCTCAGAGGGCCAGTACAATCCAGCCCACGGCCATTGGCCTACTCCAGACATCGGGGTTGGGGCCCCTTCCCCTCGCGCATCCACGCAGACAGGTGTGTCTGAATGCACACAGCACCACGTGAAGAAGCCCATGTACACACAGGTACACACACATGCACGGGTAGGCCCTCGCCCCATCCCGTTGACCTCTGGGACCTGCCTGGCACAGAGCACCAAATAAACAAAGAATGCACGCTACACACACAGGCCAGGGGCCAGGGCACGCGTACGCCTCATGCTGGGGACCGCAGACGCTGGCTGACCCCAAGTTCAAAGCACAGCAAACGTCTCACGACCTCACTTACCAGATCTAAATGGTCCTCAGTCTGAGAGCAGAAATGAGACCAAGGAGACATTCAGTCTCTGGCCTCCGCCTCCCCCATCCGCGTCCCCAGAGCCACTCCACCCACTTCTCTGCGTATGGGCTGGTGGCTCTCCCAGCCCAGGACAGAGCTCTCACTGTTCTGAGTTCCAGAGCAGGCCGCATCCCAACCTCCATCCGCTAGGACACCCTCACGACCCAGCCCCGCCTCCTGTAAGGGCACACCCCTTCCACGGCCTCCCCACCGCAGGGCCTCCTCTCCCACTCTCCCACCCCATCCCTTCGTGCTGCACTAGACTGGTGCTTCTGTGCTCCCACCTCTTCAAAGGCCCTCCTAGAAGACAGCACATGGAAGGCCAGGCTTCCCGCTCTCTCTCGGGAAGTCCCACCTGCTGGCTACCCTGCAGCCTTCCCGCTCTTTTCACACCCCCCTCCTCTCCCCAGCCCAGGCCCTGGGCTCAGCCCCACTCACCAAGTGATGCATGAGCCCCTTTCCTCCCTGGGAAGTGATGACCCGGAGGTCGGGCTTGCGGCTGGGGGCTCCAAGCTGGGCGCTGTGGGTAGGTGGGGGCGGAGACTTGGCAGGGATGACCTTGTTGAGGCTGTTGCCATTGGCCACAGGGAGGAGGCCAGGGGAAGCCCGAGCACTGACGTAGCCGTTCCCTGGAGAAGGAACAAGAGGAAGGTGAAGGAGAAACTCGGGCCTGCCCCCCACACCTGGGAATGGCCCACGCTGAGACTCCTGCCACCCCGACCTCTCAGAGCCCTGCTCAGGCTGAGGGTGCTGATCCACCTGGGAACAGGTGAGGGGACACCCTTCTCTCCTGAACCACTGGGTTCGTTCCTGTCTCCTAGCTACAAGTGACGGGGCTGGGGGTGGGGCCCAAGGTCAGCGGGAGGCGCTGGAAACCAGCCATGGCCCCTGGCCCCCACCGTGGCTGCGAGGTTCTCTGCAGCCAGGCCTCTCCCCGCCTCTCCTCTGCTGCGGTCTCCCGGGGCAGCAAGCCCAGCACTTTGTGAGCCCACACTCTGCCCTGGTCGGAGCCCGCCATCACCAGGACAGGGATGGGGTGGTGGCCTGGGGGGGCCTCCCTGGGAGCCTGGCCCCTGACCACTTGAACTGCTCCCTGTGCCACAAGCTGAGGACGCTGTGACGCGGATCAACACGTGGCAAGACGCCCACAGCGCGGGGGAGACAAGCCATTTGCTGGCGGTGCCGGGGCTACGGGCGCTGAGTACACAGCCCTCACCATAATTAGACGGTTCATAACAAGCGTGATAACTATCTTCTGCGTCGGCTCCACCCGCCACGATCTACACAGGCCTTCCACACTCACATTATCTCATTTAATCCTCACATTAACCCTGCAAGATGGACAGGACACGGAGCATTAGCCCTGCTGACAGAAGAGGAAACTCGGGCCTGGTCGGGAGAGGGCAGCGACTGGTCCAGGGCCACACGGCTGGCAGGGGGCCAGCCATCCACACGCTGGGTGCAGGGCCTACATGTGCCACTCCTTCCTTAAGGCCTCCCAGCAGTCCTCCGCTCTCTCCTCGGAAAGGGAGGGATATTTACCCGCTCCCCACGTTCTTGGCCAGGACATGGTTTTGCCAGGGAGATATTACACGGTGCATGGGGCTGAGTGGGGGACTCTGAGCGGTGAGGATGTGGGGCAACCACAGTAAAAAAAAAATGCCATTTTTCCTGTCCCCTCAGAGCACGCTGCTGCCCGAAGTGCATGGCCGCCTCCATCCCAATTCCCGGATCACTCTGGGAATGGCAGGAATGTCAGGGTGACGTCAGTGGTGACATTCGAAGTCACAGTCACCCAGCTGGACGATGGCACAGACAGGAGGGGCTGCCAGCTGCTGGGGTGGGGCGAGGGGCACGGGCTCCTCCTGTGGCTGACGTGTGCGAGCTCAGTGTGCCCTGTGTGAGCGCACACGTGCGAGTGCACCTGTGCAAGCACGCGGGAGTCTGTACCTGCTGTCTGGCACCGCCAGGCGTCCTGGTCCCCTAGGTCCCAACCAGACACCCCCTTCAACCAGAGAACCGTGGGGTCTTCTCTGACCGGAACGCCGGTCCTGTCTGAGTTCGCCCAGCATTCCCGGAACCTCCCGCCTGCTGACAGCCCACAGCAATCACGGCTCCAGACGACCTCTCGACCTCTCGGGGCTTCCACGTCCTGAGTCTACACCCACACAGACTAAGGCCCTAACCTCCTCTAACTGGGCCCTTCATCCTTAGACCCATGGCCACCGAGCAGCAGGCCCCTCCCAGACGCCCCCCGGAAGGGTGGGTGGCACTCACCGACGGGGCTGGGGCAGGCTCCGTTGGCGCTGCTCAGGTCTCCCCCCAGCATGGCCCCTGAAGGAAGAGCAGGGCTGTGGTCAGCTGCCAGGACTGCCCCTTCCAGAGTGAGCCCTGGGACCCAACTGGGAAGAGGGGGCCCTAGGTCCCTGCCCTCCGGTGCCACACAAGAGGGGGAAGGCTCTGGTGAGCGGAGGGAGACACGCACTGTGGAAAGCGGACTCCGCCTCGTGTCCCGGCCCACCAGCCCACTCACCTGCACTCGCCGGCCGCTGGGGCAGGCCAGGAGACACACTGTTCCTCTGTAGTGCCGGCTGCTGGGGGGACAGGAGCCGCGGGTCCGTGAGGGATGATGTCACCAGGGACGGGGTGACCAGGGAGCCGCTGGGATTGCTGAACTGCAGTGAGCTCTGATTGGACACAGGCACCGTCACGGGCATGGCAAAGTTGGGGGCCGGAACAGCTGACTGGACAGAAAGATGGAGAGGCAGGGTCAGGCAGGGCCAAGGCCTCGGCCTGGACCCACCTGGCCTGGGAGGGCAGGCGAGGCATCTCCTAGTCCCTGGGCTGTCCATCCTGGGGTCTGCCCAGCTCTCTGCCCGGACCCGCCCCCAGAATAACAGTGGGGGAATTCTCTGGGACCCAGCTGTGGCCAGAGAACGGGAAGAAGACTGCTCGCCGCAGACAGGACCAGGGACACCCCCAGGTGGAGGCGGGTTAGTCCTCAGCCAGGCGGGACACACCAGGAGCAGGTTAGAGGCCCGCGCACAGACCACGGTCACACGCACAGCTGTGAAAGGCCTGCGCCCTGGGTCGGGACATCCTGGCTGGCAGCCGGTCCCCCGTCCGGCCTGCTGCGGAGGGGGCCAGCCTGCCACACTGCCTTCCCCTCCTGTCGTCTGCCTCCCTGCTTGGGGCTGGGCGTCTCGGCTGGGCAGCAGAGCAGGCCCAAGGGGGCCACTCCCCACACGGAGCCCAAGAGCACTCCACTCTCCTGGCCTCTAAGGCCCTTGGGCCATCTATGCACTCGGACACGCCAGGCCTCTCTGGCTTATGCTCCCTCCAGGACAAGTCCCGCGAGGTCACGGCTTGCCCAGGACCAGGTCAGGGAGCTCCTCGTGGCCCCTAGTCGTAGCCCCAGCCAGGCTCAGAGCGGGACATCCACCAGGGCAGCCGAAGCCACACCATGCAGCACAGGGAGGCTCTCCTCCATGCGACTACTCACGGCCAGTCTATAACTCTGCATCATTTTATCAAACTCCTCGTCTATCTTTTTATATTTCTCTTCCGTCTGGGGGGTCAGAGCAAACACCTCGTCCACCTCAGGGCTCTCACATTCCCTGTGCTTCTTGTGCAGCGCCTGGGGGGGAAGGGGCCGGGGAGGGGCCGACAGAGAGAGCGTGAGTGGGGCTCACCCCATAGCGCCGGAAGAGCCCGTCCAGCTCCTCGCTGGCGCGCCGGTACTTGTCCTCCAGCAGGGGGCTCTGCTCCAGCGAGTCCTCCCCGTCGGGCTCCGGGCTGTCGCAGCCGTTGAAGCCCTTCTTCCTCAGGGTCTGTAACCGCAGGCTTCCATCAGCCCAGTGCCCAGCAGCCAGCCCTTCCCTGAGATCCCCAGCAGTTCCCCACCCTTCGGCCCCTCCCCTCCCCACTGACAGTGCCTCCAGGGGCCTGGTGTGAAGGTCCCCTGGGTTGGAGAGGCATGGACACAGGGATCCACGGCAGATGGGTAGAACCCAGGGACAAATGGAGGGAGGGCCCTCCGAGGATGTGGACGGGCTGGTGCTCTGGGCCAGCCCCTGCCTGACCACCCTATACCCCAGGGGGACATCATCAGGGTGGCACTGCCAGCCCAATCCCTGAGCTCTGCTTGTGCTGCAGGGGGCGGGTCGTTGCATCGCACTGCATGTAAGTGCCATGCAGATGAGGCTGGATCCCACACAGCTGGCCAGGGTTTGAGTCCCGGCCCCAGAAGCCTAAAAAACACTGAGTACACACACACATGCCCGGGATCCTGATGGGATAGAGGGATGAAGGAAAAAGGATTGTGGTGTGGTCGGGCCCAGCTGGGTGGCTTTTTCCAAGCTATCCCTCCCCTATTATGTCTGTCTGTCTCTCTTGCATGTACACACACCCTCTGGCATAATAAAAGAAAAAATTGTGAAAAAAAAGTGAGGGAGAGAAGCAAAGGTGGAGAGGAAGGAGGAGGAGAGTGAAGCGGCCCGAGTACGTGCAAGTCCTGCTGTGAACCCCAGCCTTCCCGTCCAGAGGCAGAGCTTCTCACGCAGGTCCCTGTGCTGCCCTGAACAATGGGGAGGCACACCCCAGGGGCTGCAGCACATTCCAAAGCTGTCTTCCACGCTCAAAACACCTTTCCAGGGAACCAGCAGTTAGTGTAATGGCTATGTCGCTGGACTCCCACGTAGTCGACCGCAGTTCGCGTCCCGGACCCGGTGGCTTAGAACTCACGCCAGGCGCATGTGCGTGCGTGCCCAAGATCCCGAGAGGAGAATGGAGGAGAAGGGATTGCGGCGTGACCATCCCCTCTGGGGGGTGATTTCTCGCTTTCTGTCTCTATGTCTCTGTCTGTCTGGCGAGCGCACACGCCCTATAGTGAAAACCTCTCCAAAAACAAAAAAACAAAAAAACAAATCTTTCCAGGCCCAGCCTCGGCAATACGGTGGCACACGCCTGCTCAGCAGGTGAGGCCACACAGGAGCCCTGGGTTTAAGGCCTGGACTCCGTTCCCAGCTCATCGAAACAGACTGGGTGTGGTGGCTTATGCCTGTGGTCCCAGCTACTTGGGAGGTCAGGCAGGAGGATCTCGACAGGGCAAGACCCTAAAATACCTCCCTCAACAGACACTTGCTATGTCTTTAAAATGAATGTATGTTTTACAGCAAGGGTTACATACACGTATGCTAGGGTTACATCTGGTTGTTTTTTTTTTTTAAGATTTATTTAGTTAGTTTTAGTTATTGTTATTTTAAAATTTGCTACTAGGCACATGCACTCACCAAAGAGAGACGGGGTGGGGGGCGAGGGAAAGTGAGAAAACAAGCTGCAAGGTCTGGGACTTGAACCGTGAAGCCATGAAGGAGTCCGGCGGTTAGGCCTGGGGCTTCCTGGCCGACCTCTTCATCAGGGCAAGCTCTGTGCCACCAAGGGGACACGGGAACTAGGCCGTCCCGTTTGGTTCATGCAGTACCTTCAAAGCACACTGGCCCCATTTGGTGGAGGTGGACGCCAAGGCTCGGGGAGGCCAAGCCACCTGCCTAAAGTCACGCAGCCAGTTAAGGCCAGGCTGGATTCCAAAGCCCGTGTCCTTCAACAGCTCACAATGCCAGTTCGCTTTGAAACGGAAAACTGAGCCACAGGGACCCACAAAATGACAGAGCACGGTGGCGAGAGGGAAACAAAGAGGGAGATGAAAAAGGAAGACTCAGACACAGGGACAGACCAGAAGACGGAGAAAGGAGGGAGACGGGCGAGGTGAGACGTTAGGTCACGACCACAGACGCGCAGATGCTGAGAGCACGGCCGTGTCCCCTCGCAGCCCAGCGGGGGCTGGGTGCCCTGGTGCCAGCCCGCTCCTCTGCCCACCCGCTCCCCTGGCCCTGAGCCTCTGAGGACGAGGCTGGCAGCGCGTGCTCTCGGCGAGGGCCCGGCCCACCTCGATGATGTCGGCGTTGGTGCGGCTCTCGTGCGGCTCGTTGTACTCCGTGTACTTGAGCAGCACCTTGTCCATGTCGGTGCTGGCGTACTGGAACAGCTTGTTGGAGTGGTTGAAGATGATGAGCGCGATCTCGCAGTCGCACAGCACGCTCAGCTCGTAGGCTTTCTTCATCAGCCCGAACTTCCGCTTGGTGAACGTCACCTGTGGGGGGGGCGGGGCGGCCGTGCGGGCCCCAGGTCTGGCTCAGTCACAGGCAGCTGGACAGGACTCCTGCCCTCAGGAGGCCCTGACTAGGGAGGAAGAGGCCAGCTCCCTCTGCCAGCTCAGGGCCAGACACAGCCCAGAAACAGCCCATGAAGGAGGGGACGGAACTCCATACCTCCGTGCTGGGGGCCAGGAGCAGTCGGTGGAAAGGAACAGGGAAGGCAGGACTCCCAAGTGAGAAGGGGGAAAGGGGGGTGCCCAGGCATGGCCTAGGGCTTGCACATGGCTCCTGGATGGGGACACAGGTCTGGCTGGCAGTCTTGGGACACAGGGTTCCAAGAGCCACAAGGCGGTGGGGGCTCCTCTTCTTATCCAGCCCTTCCCCTTCTGTAATAGCTTCTAAAGTCCTCCCTCTTCCAGGAAGCCCTCGTGGAGTGCCTGTTTGGAAGGAGTGGTGGCAGATGCCAGCTCCTGGCCCTCCCCACTCTGTGTGGCTCTGGGCCCTCCTCACCTGCCGGTTCCGCTCATCAGTAATTCGCTGGATCTGAATCTTTTTCCTCCCCATCTTCTCCGGGGGTGGTCGGTGCTGGGGGAGGGCTCGCTGGGTGGCGGTCTCGGCACACCTTAGACTGTGCTCATGAACAGATGGGGACCAGCACTCAGTTCATGGTCCACAGCACACCTTCTGCACGGCCTCCTGGGAGGGGAGAGACGGGCATGAGAGGACGTCAGCTCCAGACTCCTGGCCCCACGCCATGGACCCGGCTAGGCTCACGGCGTCCCGGCAGGAGGTTGGCAGTGTCTGGGTCCCACCCTCAACACGAGGCAATGCCGGCTACCTGGGCGATGGCATGTCACAGCGGGACACAAGCTGGAGCCCACGCCAGGGTCGGGACTGTGGCCAGGCTCCCTCCCACAGGGTCACTATGTCTGCAGACAGACTACGGGGGGGCCCCCCCACCAGAGTGCAAGGTCTGGGACTTAGAGCACCCGGCGCTCCTCCTGCTCCCAGAGCCTGCCCGAACAGAGACCCCTGGGCTGCTCAGCTGCCCCTCGGGCCTAGAAGGGTAGTCCCCATTTGGAGCCTGCTATGTTGAGTGGGTGCCACCCCGTGGGTGAGCGGCGAGCCTGGAACACGTGTGCCAGCATTGGGTGGCTCTGGAACTCTCGGCTAGGGACATTCTAAAGCAGGGCTGGAACAGAGGCCCCAGCCCAGCCTGGAGTCCTGCCGCAGGGCTGGGACTGCAGAACCCCTTCCTCCCTCTTCACACCAATCTGCCTGACACAGTGGGCCTCGGCCTACAATTTTTGTTTGAAGAAAGGCTTCTTCTGCTTAAAATAAACAAACAAACAAACTGACCCTCTAGCCCAACCACAGGTCAGCAAATATTTTTCTGTAAAGGGCCAGACAGTAAATAGTTGAGACTTTACAAGCCACACAGTCGCTGCTGTGACAACTCGACTCTACCACGTAGCGTGCACGCCGTGGATGGTGACGCGTACAGAAACGAGCACGCCCGTGCTCGCAAAGCAGGCCTGGGCCAAGTGTGACCCCATGGGCCACAGACTGCAGATGCCTACACTAAGGCAGGGGCTAGGGGTGGAAGCTGTATTCCATCTAAGCACAGTGCTTTGAAGAACACGGAGAAAACACAGGGCCCACGGACACACATCATCAATGAGGTTACGGGCAGCTGTGGGTGCAGGCACCAAGCGGCAGGCTGGCTGCTCATGACACCTGTCACCCACTCACGGGCTGCGGCTGCTCAGCCCCAACTCCAGAGACGGGACGGGACGGGACGCGGAGGCCCTGCATTGCATGAATCCAGGAGGCACTGTGGGAGGGGAAGGACACAGGAATGTAGCCCAGGCCAGGGGAGGGGCATGCTCTCAGATGTGGGCAGAGCCTGCCAGGCGAGGTGAGCCCTCGGAGCCTGGAGGGGGCTCGGGTAGGATGGAGGTAGGACAAAACAAGGTCCCTCCAGCTCTACGATTCCTGGAGTCCTTGCATCAGAGGTAGAGCTTTCTAGGAGGCGCTGGAGGACAGTGCACAGGGCTGTGCTTCTGGAGCTCTTCTGGACCAGGGAAGTCCAGCCCTCCCCTCTAGAGCGCCCCATCCCCGGCGCTCCTACCCAGACACCCCAGTGTGGGAGGCAGGCCCCAGCATCTCACCTTCCCAACCCGGGCAGGCACCACTGGGGTGTGGATGACAGAGGGCCACCCCCGACTCCCACTGCCAGTGGCTGGCGGGGACCTCTGGGGGCCCTTCAGCCCCCCCCCACA